ATGGCGTGATTTCGGCTCACTGCAAGGTTCCAGCAATTATCCTGCCTCAGCCTCCCAAGTAGCTGGGATTACAGGCGCCCACCACCGTGGCCAGCTAATTTTTTGTATTTTTAGTAAAGGCAGGGTTTCACCATGTTGGCCAGGCCGGTCTCGACCTGACGTCAGGTGGTCCACCCTCCTCGGTCTCCCAAAGCACTGGGATTACAGGTGTGAACCACCATGCCCAGTCTAGAACCAAATGTTTTAATTCTGTTACCATTTTTTCTTCTCTAGTTAGTGCTTTTTGTGTCCTGTCTTAACATTTTTCACCTAGCCCAGGCAGCAAAGATTTTCACCTGCATTTTCTTCAAAAAGTTTCATAATTTTACTTTAAGATACATGCTATTTGGAATTACTATTTTTAGGTGGTATAAGGTAGTAGTCATGTTTTTTCCTCATACAGATACCTCGTTTCCAGCACCATTTGTTGAAAAGAGAACCCTTAACTTACTGAAGTATGCGGTGCTTTTGTGGAAAGTCAGCTCACTTCGTGTGTGTGGTGCTTCCCCAGGACTCTCTTCTGTCCCACTCTTCTCTATTTCAGTCTTTTTTTTTGAGATGGAGTCTCGCTCTGTCACCCAGGCTGGAGTGCAGTGGCACGATCTCAGCTCCCTGCAAGCTCCGCCTCCTGGGTTTACACCATTTTCCTGCCTCAGCCTCCTGAGTAGCCGGCTACAGGCACCCGCCACCATACCCGGCTAATTTTCTGTATTTTTTTTTAGTGGAGATGGAGTTTCACTGTGTTAGCCAGGATGGTCTCAATCTCCTGACCTCTTGATCCACTCGCCTCAGCCTCCCAAAGTGCTGGGATTACAGACGTGAGCCACCGCGCCCGGCCTCTGTTTCAGTCTTTATACTGTTACTGTGCTGTCCCGATCACTGTAGCTTTATATTGAATCAGGTGATAGAAGTTACCCAACTTCTCTTCTTTTTCTTTTTTCCAAAATTGTTTTGGCTATCCTAGGACCGTTTGCATTTCCATATGAATTTCAGAATCAGCTTGTCAGTTTCAAGAAAAATTTTCATTGGAATTACTTGACTTTCTAAATTAATTTGGGAAGAAGTGCCATCTTAGGCAAACCGAGTCTTCCAATCCAGTGCCATGGTAAAGTGCTCCATTTATTTAGATCAGTCTCATCCTACACTTTCTTGTAGTTTTCAACGTATTGGTTTTGCACACATTTTGTTAAATTTATTACTAAGTATTTTGTGGTTTGGGATGCTATTATAAATGATTTTTTAATTTTCCAGTTATTTGTTGCAAGCATATAGAAGTACAATTGGCTGTTGTATATTGATCTTGTATCATGTGACTTTGTTAAATTCATTCATTTCTGTAGTTTGTTTCTTTCTTTTCCTGCTTTTCCTTCCCTCCTTCCCTCCCTTCCTTTCTCTCCTTTTTTCTTTCTTCTTTCAATAAAGACAAGGTCTTCTGTGTTGCCCAGGCTGGAGTACTGCGGCTATTCTCTAGTGATTTTTTTCCTTTTGTTTTTCTTTTTTTTTTGAAATGGAGTTTCTCTCTTGTTGCCCAGACTGGAGTGCAGTGGCGCGATCTTGGCTCACTGCAACCTCTGCCTCCTGGGTTCAAGCGATTCTCCTGTCTCCGCCTCCCGAGTACCTGGGATTACAGGCATGTGCCACCACACTGGGCTAATTTTGTAGTGATTTTTTTTTTCTTTGAACAGAGTTATTTAGAGATATGTTACTTATTTTCCAAACACATTTGAGAATTTTTTAAATAGATTCTATTGCTTAGGATTTTAAATTCAATTCTATAAAGCCCAGACAACATACCCTTTATCTAATATTTTAGTCTGTTAAAAAATGTTGGAGATGCCGGGCGTGGTGGCTTACACCTGTAATCCCAGCACTTTGGGAGGCCGAGGTGGGCGAATCACAAGGTCAGGAGATCGAGACCATCCTGGCTAACACGGTGAAACCCTGTCGTTACTAAAAATACAAAAAAATTAGCCGGGTGTGGTGGCGGGCGCCTGTATTCCCAGCTACTGGGGAGGCTGAGGCAGGAGAATGGTGTGAGGGAGGCAGAGCTTGCAGTGAGCCGAGATTGTGCCACTGCACACTCCAGCCTGGGCAACAGAGCAAGACTCCATCTCAAAAAAAAAAAAAAAAAGTTGGAGACTTATTTTATGCCCTAGTATATGGCCTAACTTCATGACTATTTCATGTACACTTAACGAATGTAGCATTCAGTAGTATAAAAGCCCCTCCACGGCCGGGCGCGGTGGCTCAAGCCTGTAATCCCAGCACTCTGGGAGGCCGAGACGGGCGGATCACGAGGTCAGGAGGTCGAGACCATCCTGGCTAACACGGGGAAACCCCGTCTCTACAAAAAAATACAAAAAACTAGCCAGGCGAGGTGGCGGGCGTCTGTAGTCCCAGCTCCTCGGGAGGCTGAGACAGGAGAATGGCGTAAACCCAGGAGGCGGAGCTTGCAGTAAGCTGAGATCCGGTCACTGGACTCCAGCCTGGGCAACAGAGTGAGACTCCGTCTCAAAAAATAAAAAAAAAAAAAGCCCCCTCCACAAGCTGGAAACCCTGGGATGCCAGTGTCATGGCTCAGTCCAAGTCCAAAGGCTTCAGAACCAGGGAAACCAATGGTGTCACTCTCAGTCCTGGGCCAAAGGCCTCAGATCCCTGAAGAGTGAGGAGGTGCTGGTGACATCTGGGAGTCCAAAGGTCGGGGGGCCTGGAGTTGTCCAAGGACAGGGGAGGAAGAGTGTATCCCAGCTCCAGCAAACAGATGGATATATTTGCCTTGTCTTTGTTTTTATTTTCTCTGGGCCCCCCAGCCTATTGGATGGTGCCCACCCTCATGGAGGGCACATCTTCCTCACCTGGTCAGTCACCTCTGGAAACATCCTTTCAGACATACTTAAAATAATCCTTTACCAGGTTTCTAGGTGTTCCTTAATCTGGTCAATTTGACACTTAAAATTAACCATTACACCTACACCCATCCCTGGCTGCTTTCAAGTTTCTATTGTTTTGCCTTTGATTATCAGCCAGAGTTTTGCTGTGATATAATTAGAATTTGTGGCTTGATATATTTTGTTAGACTCAGAAAATTGGCCATCATCTGTTCAAATATTGCTCATGTTCCATTTTCTTTCCTGTCTTCTTCTGAGTCTCTGGTTACATATGTGTTCAATCTTTTGCAATTTTCAATGTATCCCTTATGCTTTCATCCATAGTTTCCATTATTCTCTAGGCTTCAATGTGGATATTTCCTACTGATCTTTTTCCAGTTTACTAATCCTTTCTTCATCTGTGTCTAATCTGCTGTTTATTTCATCATTGGGGCCTTTATTTGAGTGATTGTTTTTCAGTTACAGAATTTCTATTTTAATTTTTTTGATAAATTTTATCTGCAGAAATTCTCCATATCGTCTTCTGATAAGGCCAATATTGGCATCCCCTGGGTGAGGGTGGGGGAGGTGTCTATTTCCTGTTTTTTCTTTTGATCTTATCTCCTAGTAACCTAAGGAGTTTTTCTTTTTTTCTTGGATTCTAGACATTATGTATGAAAAATTGTATAGATGACTTGAGGCTTCATTTGATGTTATCCTCACCAAAGAGTAGTTCTGTGCTTCTGCCTGTCAGTCATGGATGGACAGCTCGTGTTCAGAAGAGACTGAGCTGGTTTGAAACTGGACTACCAGCCTGTTTCTGTTAACCCTTACTCCTGGGATGGGACCCTTCAGGGTCCCCACCCAAAGCTGGGGTGCTTTCCTGGGCGTCTCCTTTTTTTCATTTTTTCTTTTTTAGAAATGGAGTCTTGCTCTGTCGCCCAGGCTGAGGTGCAATGGCACGATCTCGGCTCACTGCAACCTCCACCTCCCAGGTTCAAGCAATTATCCTGCCTCAGCTTCTCGAGTAGCTGGGACTCCAGGCGTGTGCCACCACGCCCGGCTGAGCCTCTCCTCCTAGACGGACACCGAATTCCAGTGTTTGTCCCTCCAGCTCCATGAGTCCGAGAAGGCCTCACTCAGCTTCTCAGCCTCTTAGCTACCACATCCCTCTTAGCCTCCACCCCTTGAACCTCTTGACTTCCAGGCAGCAAAAGCATCAGGGCCAGTTGCTCCAAATTGGGTTTCACCTCCACACTTCCTTTTCTCTGGGGCGCTGGTCCTTGCTGACTTGGTGGTTCTCTGACACCTTTAAGGAAACTTCTTAAAATCTGGGTTATCTGCGAGGGGGTTGGTCAGTTACAGAGTAGTTAGCCATGGCCATAAGCAGAACTCCGTTTCATCGACTTCTGGTGTCCCCCACCTGACCCCACACGTCTGGGACACTAGAGAGAGAGTGCCCATCAGAGAATTGTCTTTTGACAGTGAGCACTCACAATCTGCTGGCAAACGTTCCGGGCATACAGGGCTGACTCATTCGGGACTTAGCTGCCATAGGCTTGGATTCTTGTTGGAAACAGCTGCTATAATTTATTCTGATGAATTACTGTTCCAAAGATGGTGTTTCTGAGCTTTCCAAGAACACACTGGATATCAGTTCTAGTTACAGTGAAAGTGGGAGGCAGTGGAGAAGGGAAGCATTGGAAGCTCAGTGCTTGTCTGATCAGGTATATAATTTGTAGAGACCAAAAAAAGGTCGTGACTTTTCCCATCCAAGTACTAACCAGGCCCAACTCTCCTTAGCTTCCGAGGTCAGACGAGATCGGGTGTGTTCAGGGTGGTATGGCCGTCGACAAAAAAAAGTGACTTCTAAATAAACAATCCCTGTGTTCACCTGGTGGTTTTCTGGAGACAGCTGAGGGGCACCTGGATTGTGACGTGCCCAGGGGCCCTGGGCTGTGTCTGTCATCCCCTGGCAAGGACACTGCCTGGCTCACAGCCCGTGACGAGTGCGTGGCATGTGATGGGCACACGGGTGTTGATTGAATCTTTTGAGATAAAACTAAGGTATTTTTGTTTCATTCTCCTGCTCAGATTACCCGGAAGTTCAGGCTGAATTCTGAAGGCAAACTTGAACAGACAGTCTCCATGGCAACCACCACACAGCCAATGACCCAGCATCTTCATGTCACCTACAAGAAGGTGACCCCGTAACCTAGAGCTTCTGGAGCCCTCAGGAGGGCCTGGCTACTGTGTCTCAACGGTTCGGCTCCTTGGCATACAGTCCCTGCAGCAGAAGTGGGTGTGGCCGGGAGCCTCTGCGGGCTCAAGAGTGTTGTCCAGATGTTTCTGTACTGGCATAGAAAAACCAAATAAAAGGCCTTTATTTTTATGGCTGAGGATTTTGAATATTATCACTTGTGTAGGATGTACATTTTTTTTATCTGCTGATGTTTGTTTTCCAAAGTCTTCCCTAAGAAATTAAGAAGGAGGCTGGGTATGGTGGCTCATGCCTGTAATCCCAGTACTATAGGAGACCAAGGCAGGTGGATCATCTGAGATCAGGAGTTCAAGACCAGCCTGGCCAACAGGGTGAAACCCCATCTCTACTTAAAATACAAAACATTAGTCGGGCGTGGTGGCACATGCCCGTAATCCCACCCACTTGGGAGGCTGAGGCAGGAGAATTGCTTGAACCCAGGAGGTGGAGGTTGCAGAGAGCCAAGATTGCACCACTGCACTCCAGCCTGGGAGACAGGAGCGAGACTCTGGGGAAAAAAAAAGTAAAAGAGAAATTAAGAAGGGATGAATCTCTTTCCTTTTCTTTCTTCTTGCAGTTTTGACAAGATCTAAAATATCTGTAAATCTTCTGTAGAGTTGGCCGGGCACAGTGGCTCACGCCTGTAATCCCAGCACTTTGGGAGGCCAAGGCAAGCAAATGGCTTGAAGCCAGGAGTTTGAGACCAGCCTGGGCAACATGGCGAAACCCGATCCCTACAAAAAAAAAAAAAAACAAATATTAACTGAGCGTGGTGGTCCATGCCTGTGGTCCCAGCTACTCAGAAGGCTGAGGTGGGAGGACCCCTGGAGCCTGGGAGGTGGAGGTTGCAGTGAACCAAGGTCATACCACAGAACTCCAACTTGTGTGACAGAGCAAGACCCTGTCTCCAAAAAAAAAAGATGGCAGTCATTTTTTCATTACTTTTAAAGAGCCAAGTCTACATTTTCTTACAGATGGAGCATTCCCAAGAGGCTAGCTGTGATTTTTAACATCGTCATGTAAGTTTTAGTTTGTAACTCTCTAATACAGCTTTCGTTTTTGTGGGGTTTTTTTCACCATGAAAGTTCCCAAACATACACTAAACCCTTGTACCTGTCACCCAGCTTCAGTACCTGCCAGCATTTTGCCCACAGCAGTTCCATTTTTCCTCCCCACTTCTGCTGGAATACATGGAAGCAAATTCCAGACATACTGTCACTTGCACCTAAATCCTTTGGTATACATTCCAAAACAACCAAAGCCATTTTCTTTCTCTTAACTCCTCACCGTGTCAGAAATCTCGCCAGGCAGATGGAGACGAGGCTACACGGGTGTTGGGAAGCAGAGTCGGAAGAGGTAGCGCTCGGGCTGCGTGGGGTTAACATCCAGGGTGGCAACCGCAGGTACCACCTCCAGGGCTTGGGGACAAAATGTGTTACCAGGGTGGGGTTTCAGGGACCTCAGAGCTTAGAGGAGGTTCTCGCAAGATGGGCAGGAGGGCCTGGGACGGTATTCCAAGGGCCAAGCGGGTGCCAGGGGACCTGGAGGCTGGGCTCCGAGCTGTCTCTGCTCCCAGAGTAATGTTGAAATAACCTGGGAATGCCAGGAAGCTCCCAGCCACAACTCCTGCATCCCGGGCTCCTGCACACCCAGCCAGAAGGGAGTGTGGGAGGGCAGCACCCAGGGCAGAACACAGACAAGCCAAGAGACAAGAAGTCAGTAACTGATGGCACGGTGGTGGTTTCTCAAAATGCATAAGAATTCTGTAATGTTCTCCAACACTCAGTCCTATTCGCATTCCCTGACTGCCTGAGAAATATCCTCATACAATTGGATTATCAAAGCTTTATTTACGTTTGTGTTTGGCTACAAAGTCTTTTAGGATCCTTTTGATCCTAAAAGTCCTCCTCTTCCCTCCCCTGTACCCTTGACTTGTTGGTAAAGCTGGTCACTTGTCCTCGAAGGTGTCCCCAGTCTGGACTCAGCATCATCCTTGTAGTGTTTAACTTGTTCCTCTGTCCCCTCTATATCCTGTCATCTGGAAGTTGGATCTAAAGTTGTGGCTGGAGTCACACCTGGGCGATGCTCAGTTCCTCGTGTCACAGCCCATGAGGAGCCTCATGTCTGATTGTCTCACTTTGTTGAAGCCTGACCCCTTTATCGTCAATTTCCCATCAACTGTTCCCCTGACAGTTTTGCCCCCTGTGGGTGACCATTGCTAGAACCAGAACCTCCACTGGGACTGCAGATGTTTGTCTTCTGTCTCTCATTAGAAGGACATTTAGTGGCTGGAATTCTCTCAGACCCTCCCTTTATCCATTACGGTAAGTCGGGTCACCCTGAAGCTCGTTCATACTAGAAAGGCAGCATAAACACTTAATTATTTCCCTTTAATGATCAATTTTTGGAGTAAGAATGTCCTGGCGCCCTCCAGTGGTGCCAGAGGACTGAGAGTTCCTCGCTCCGCTGCAGTTGCCCTTCCCGCTTCCCTCCTCATGTTATGAACTTCATATTTTCATGTATACAGTCTGTCCTCAGTATCCACAGGGGTGGGTTACAGGACCCACACAGATACCACAATCAGATGCTCGAATCCCTTGTATAAAATGGCGTGGGATTTGCGTGCAACCTACGCACATCCTCACATAAACGTTAAGTCATCTCTGGATTGCTTATAATACCTGATACAGTGTAAATGCTCTGTAAACGTATATTTTTGGGGTGTTTCTATTGTGGGCTTTTTGGGAATTTTTTTATACACAATTGAATCCACAGAAATGGAGGGCCAACTGTATTTGATACCATTTTAATCAAGTGCTGCCTATGTCTTCGGCAAACAGGAGATGCTCAGATTATCTCGTAATTGGCCAGAGGAGCCCCTGCATCCAGTGGGCTTTGATGCCTCCTTGCTCTGGGGCCACGACTGCCTCTGACTCTTCCTGCCCAGAACCTGGAACTACCCATTTCTCCAGAGCCCTGGTCCTCATTACTGGGGAGTGGGAATTAGAGGCCACAGACTGAGCACTGATTGCTTCTGATGGCTGGGCTGCTCTACTTCCCAGCCTTTCCATGGACAAAACCAGAAAATTGTTCTAAAATTTATTTTCTCAGCCAGGCATAGTGGTTTACACCTATGATCCCAGGACTTTGGGAGGCCAAGGTGGGTAGATCACCTGAGGTCAGGAGTTCGAGCCTGGCCAACATGACAAAACCCCATCTCTACTAAAAATACAAAAAATTAGCCGAGCATGGTGGCAGGCCCCCGTAATCCCAGCTACTTGGGAGGCTAAGGCAGGAGAATCACTTGAACCCAGGAGGCAGAGGTTGCAGTGAGCCGAGATGGCACCATTGCACTCCAGCCTGGGCAACAGAGCGAGACTGTGTCTCAAAATAGTTTCTGGTTTATTTTCTCCGAATCACGTGAGGTTATATTAGAGATCAGGACCCTTCACCCCTAACTACTTTAGCATGGGATATACACATGTATTTTTGAAAAATATGAATTCATACTGTTTTCCATTCAAATTTTAAGATTATAAGAGTTTTTAAATATTCTTTGATTTTACCTCTTAAGCTGAAAATCTTGATTGATTACATGAACAGTATTTGCTTTATTCTACATACAAATACATATAATCATTTCAAAATAAGCTTGGGCAACATAGTGAGATCCCACCTCTACCAAAAAAGGTATTGTTAACAATGGCTACTGGTCAAAGTTTGTTTTTTCTGCTAGCCTTTTTAGACTTTTCCCTTTGAAGACACAAAGTTAAAATATTACATAATTGGATTAATTAATCTGCGCTTCTGTCACTAACTTGATACACAAGTCCATTTGTTTAATTTCTAGAAATTGTTATAATTTGTTTTGCAAATGCAAATCATTTGACTGGCTTTCTTGTTGGAACTGTAAAACCAGGCATGTTTGCTCCACACAGGCCTCTGGTATAGCTGTCGAGTGCCCTGGTAAGGTCACCGTGGTTCAGCTTGCCGTGGTTTAGCTTGCCGTGGTTTGGTTTAGCTTGCCGTGGTTCAGCTCGCTGTGGTTTGGTTTAGCTCGCCATGGTTTAGGCAACAGATCCCCTCATGCTGGGCACTCCGGTTGTTTCCAGTCTTTGGCCAATCAAATGTCAGAGTTGGACCCAGCACCTCCATTGGGACTGCAGCATGCTTGTCTTCTAAGTCTGTTTAGAAGGGCATTTCCACATCTTTGTGGATTCTGGCCATCGTATCTTAAGGATACATTTCTGGGAATGGGATTACCAGTCAGCAGGGAGAGGCTCATCCGGCTTGTCTGGGTATTGTTGCTGTCCCCAAGGGGCCAAGTGTTCTGCATCCCTACAGCATTGTAGGAGGCGCCTGCCCCCATCAGCAGCCGAATCTGGTGTCAAATTTGGATTTGGGTCAATCTTGTAGGTGAGAAATGGAGTCTTGGGGTGGTTTTGGTTTGCACTTCTCTCTCTCTCTTTTTTTTTAAATCATTTTCTTGATTTTCCAAACTCATGAGCTCTTTTGAATAAGGAATATTAATCCTAATATTTCTCATTTTAAGTTATAATTTTTATCGAGGTAAAATATATATAAAACAACATTTTTATCAGAGTCCTATAGATGATTTAAAAAATTCACCATTTTAACCATCTTAAAGTTTACAATTTAGCGGCATTTAGTACATTCATAACGTACAACCGTCACTTCTCTGTGCTTCCAAAGCTTGCGTCACCCTGGAAGGAGACCCCGCACCTGTTCAACACCATCCCCCGGCCTCGGCCCTGACAGTCTCTACCCTGCTTCCCGCTCAAGTCACCAACACTTTTGAAAATGCTCTGTTAGAAAACATTTTCCCCAGTGTACGTTCTGTCTTTTAGTGCTCCTGGGTTTTAAATCCTATTTAGGAAGATTTTGCTCCCTCCCCCGTGATGAAGGAATTCACCTTTTCCTAGTACTTTTAACCCATTTGGAATTTGTCTTCGTGTATGGTATGAAGTGCAGATTCATTCTCGTCTTTTTCCAAGTGGTTAACGTTGACTGACAAGTCCATCCTTTCCTCACTGGTATCGTATGCTGCCTTATAGACGGCATGTTCCAGGCATTGGGATCTGTTTCCAGGTGTTCATGTGCCTGGGCCTGCCTGCCTACGTGGGTCCTGGTGCCATGTGTTCCATTTCAGAGGTCAGGAGATGGTTCCATGGCAGAGGACCTCCCCATTTCTTTTTCAGGGTTTTCCTGGCTATTTTTACACTCTTGTGCATCTTCTGTCTCACATGAACTTTATAATTAGTTTTTTAGATCCGGGAAAAACATTCGGCGTTTTTATAAGGATTACATTACATTTATAAATTTACTTTTGTAGAATTGTCTTGCTTAGGAGAGTTTTCTTATCCAGGACCATGGTATTTCTTTCTGTCTGTCTTAATTCATTTTCCATTGCTCTAACTGAAGACCACAGACTGGGTAAGTTATAAAGAAAAGAATTTTATTTCTTACAGTTCTGGAGGCAGGGAGCCAAGGTATAGGAGTTGCATCTGGTGAGGACCTTCCTGCTGGTCGGGACTCTGCAGCCTCGAGGTGCTGCCAGGCATTATGTGAGGGTCTCATGAGAGACGGCAAAGCTGGCTTTTATCACCAGCCCCCTGGTGATAACTGCTTCACTCCCTGAGAACCCATTAGTCCATGAATGGATTAGTCCTCAAGAGCCAGTCACCTCCCCAGAATCCCATCCCAGCACTGCTGCATTGGAGTCCAGGTTTCCAGCGCATGAACTTTTGGGGAATGCGTTCAAACCATGGTATTGTTGAAATCTACTTTGGTGTCTTTATGGCATATTTAAAGTTTTTCCCATTTAGGATTTCACATTTCTTTCATGCATGAGGATTTTTTTTAATCTTTTTGTTGCTGTTAAAAATGGGTCATCTTTTCCGTTCTGTCTTTTAACTGAAAGTATACACAAAGATCTCTGTGTGCTACTTTAAATCCTGCTGTTTCTCTGAATTCTCTTAGTGTTTGTAACATCACTTTCTTGTGCTGGAAATATAACAAAGTGTTTGATCCAAGAAGCATCTGGCAGGAAGCCTGGGCAGGGGGGGCACCTTGAGCGTGGGCTTCACTTTTCCTCCTTCCTCCTCCCCTTTCCTCTGCCCCTTCTCCCACCGGCCACTTTCCTTCTCTCCCATCTGCTGTCCACCAGGCAGGTGTTGCCAGACCACCCCAGGGGTCCTCCCTTCATGTTTCTGGAGACTGTGTGGGTTGGGGGGGGTATGATAGAGGGGGCAGGGCTTCAAAGGAGACGCTCGGGGGAGGGCCCCCTGGAGGGGCGAGGAGAGGATGGGGCGTGCGAGGGGGCCTTGTCCTCCAGCTTTGTCAGAAGGGCTAATGTCTGTGGCCTGAGCTGGCATCAGGCTTTAAGAGGAGAATGTCAGCCGGGCGCAGTGGTTCACACCTGTAATCCTAGCACTTTGGGAGGCCGAGGTGGGTAGATCCCTTGAGGTCAGGATTTCGAGACCAGCCTGGCCAATGTGGCAAAACCCCATCTCTATGAAAAATAGAAAAATTAGCCGGGCATGGTGGTGGGCACCTGTAATCCCAGCTACTCAGGAGACTGAGGCACAAGAATCACTTGAACCTGGGGGGCAGAGGTGGCAGAGAGGCGAGACTGCACCACTGCACTCCAGCCTGGGTGACAGAGCAAGGTCCTAAAAAGGGAAGAATATCGCTGCATCAGAAAGCAGGAAGGTGGGGCCTGCCCAGGCCCGTAGCCCTGCAATGAGTCTGGCCCAGAGGCACAGTCGGACACACAGGAGGCCAAAGTGAGAGGAATGAAAATGGGCTGGACGGATCAGGGGACTGAGGAGAGCCGGGTCGTAAGGCCCCCTGGCATTTGTTCTCTGGACGGATGAGGGGACTGAGGAGAACTGGGCCGCAGGGCACCTTGGCATTTGTTCCCAGGGTAGGGGAGCTCTGGTGTGGCACACGGTAGCAGAGAGCCTCCACCAGGAGGGTTGTGGTCGGCCCACGTGGAGATTTTAGAGACATCTCACACTTCAGGTTTTGTCCTATCAGGTTCAGTCACCTGTGTGCAGTGTCCACAGGAAGGCCTGTGCAAGGCCGCATGGGAAGCAGGGTGGTCCACCAGGCCTGGCCTCAAGGGGTCCTGTTCTGGAGAAGCAGATGCACAAAGCTGAGGGACACAGGTAGTGGGCCCTCCTGTGTGGCTCCTCAGCCACGGAACCACAGCACCTAAGAGCCACCACTGAAGAGGCAAACGAGCCCTGCGGCAGGCCTGAACCAGAGTTCCTGGGCACTGCCCCGTGCACCCAGTCAGGAGCCTCCCTGCTGAGGGTCAGCGAAGGCTTGGGGTACTGGCATTAGGGCTGGGTCCTGAGGGAAGATGAGGGAGAGAAGTATAGGAGGAGGAGGAGGGAGGGGAGGGAGTAGGGCTGCCAAGGGAGGGTAGGAGGGTGGAGGGCTGGATAAGGAGGAGGGCTACAAAGAAAAGAGGAGTAGCGCTGCAGGGGAGGAGGGTGGAGGACTGCAAGGGGAGGAGGAGAGGGAGGAAGGTTGCAAGGGGAGGAGGAGGAGTATTGTGGGTGAGGGGGAAGAGAAGAGCTGGCCGGGGAGGAGGAGGAGGGCTACAAAGAAAAGAGAACTGCAGTGGGAGGAGGAGAGTGGTGGAGAGTTGCAGGGGAGGGGGAGGGTGGAGGACTGGAAGAGGAGGAGGGTTATAGGGGGAGGGTGGTGGAGGGCTGCAGAGAAGGAGGAAGAGGAGTAGCGCTGCAGGGGAGGAGGGTGGAGGGCTGGAGGAAGAGGAGGAGAATAGGGAGAACAAATCCACTCTAGCAGGGGAACGAGGGCAGCATGGGGAGGACAAACCCACTCTAGCATTCCAATCTCCCTAAGCCTTTGAACCCCTTCCACACTAACCATGGGTGACCAGGCATGTCCAGTTATCCCATGGTGGGCCATGTTTTGACCCATGTTTCAGCCAAGCAGCCAACCAACCAGTCAGAACCCTTTCTAAATGCAGGCTCTCTGCTTAGTGAGCCCGTACCAACAAATTTGGCCTGATCCAACTCTGTGTTCCTCCTGCCATTCTCCCAGGCCCTCAGTATGCATTCCCACGTTCCTGGGGTTTCTGTGTAAACTGGAAAACTCACATCCTCTTGGGTAAGTGCATCTCCCAATGCTCATGCCCTGTATCTCAGCTCTAGGGCCTGCCCCACGTCAGTCTAGTTCCATGTCTAGAAGCAAAAAGGGGTGGGGGCAGGTCCTGGGGAGCAACAGCCTGGTCTTGCTAGTCCACAGCCTCAGGGCCGTCCCATTTCCTCAGACCACACAGGGTTAACCGCTCAGATGGAGTTGGGGAAGCTACCACTAGGGTTAGGGGGGCCTCTTCCACTGTTGAAGACTCATCAGGATTTAGGGGTTCAGGGTCTCCACTGTTCATCAGGGTCGCCCCACACATCCTCATCCCAGCTCCAACTGACAGGATCCCATTCCTTGCCAACCAGTGCCTTCATCTGCACAGCAGACACCGTGAGGCTGGGAGTTCCACATGTGCTATGATCCAGCCACTGGAAGGACGAGATTCTGGGTTTTTCAGTAGTCTCAGACCCACAGCTAAAGGAGTTAAGAGTCTTTCTTGGGATAGTCATAACTTGCAGATTATTCAGGTGACACTTCAGCTGGGAATTTGGATCCTGAGCTCACTCCTATCATACTTTTTTGAGATGGAGTCTCACTCTGTGCAGGCTGGAGGGCAGTGGGGCGATCCCGGCTCACGGCAAACTCTGCCTCCCAGGTTCAAGTAATTCTCCTGCCTTAGCCTCCCGAGTAGCTGGGATTACAGGTGCCTGCCACCACACCTGGCTAATTTTTGTATTTTTAGTAGAGTTGGGGTTTTGCCATGTTGGCCAGGCTGGTCTTGAACTCCTGACCTCAGGTGATCCGCCTGCTCGGGCCTCCCAAAGTGCTGGGATTACCGGCGTCAGCCACTACACCTGTTTTTGTTTTTTTTTTTTTTTTTTGAGACAGGGTCTCACTGTGTTACCCAGGCTGGAGTACAGTGGTACAATCACAGCTAACTGCAGCCTCAATCTCTCAGATTCAACCAATCCTCCCCCGTCAGCCTCCAGAATAGCTGGGACCACAGGTGCAGGCCACCGTGCTTGACTAATTTTATTTTTGTAGAGATGGGAGCTTGATATATTGCCTAGGCTGGTCTCGAACTTCTGGCCTCAAGCCATCCTCCTGCCTCCCAAAGTACTGGGATTACAGGTGTGAGCTACTGCACCTGGCCCATTATACTCTAGTTTGACGAAAGTGTTCAAAACAAAAGCCACCAGAACCAGAACCCTGCCTTCTGCAAGTATTTAATGAGCAGCACCCAGTGGTGATACTATGCATATCTCTGTTGGTACATCACACTATGGACTATTGGTGCTCTTTTTACTACTAGAAATCAGCATTAGTGCCTTTACATCTAATCAGGATAAAGAGCCAATTCCAGGAACCCTCCCATCCCCACCCTCTCACCACTCCCCCACCCCCAATTATTTTCAAACGTTCCACACCTTTTACCATGTTGTATGTAGGTAGAAGCCATTTTAACACACGCGAGTGACATTCTGTGTAAAGTGAGAATGATCATTTGGAGAAGTTTATTACCACCCCAACCCCCCAGTGGGATCTGAATGCCATGTGAGTCCGGGGCTGGCTTTCTGCTGGGGTCCTCTTGTCCTGGCATGTGGCCCACCCCAGCATGAAGCCTGGCAGGGAGGGCTCAGGTGGGCGGCATGCAGAGGGCAGGCTGCTAGGCCAGGCCTCCCCAGGACCGCCCCACATCCAGCCTGTATCTCCTGAGTGCCATGCTGCGTTGGGGCGGGACAGGGCTGGCTCGGGGTTCCAGGAAAGATGCCTCACGTGCCCAGAAACGTAGGCGTCAAGGGAAGGCTGTGTGTGGGTGCGTCCTGAGGGGCTGGGCTTCCTGGGCATCTGAGTTCTTAGGGAGCCCTAATAGGTACATCCCCAAATGGCTGTCTGAGGATGGGCACAAAAATAGCAGATGGGGCCACCCTCACCCTCCACTGACATGAAACTGGACTGGGATCTGGCTCATGTGACCTTCCTTCTCTGCCGCAGGTTCCACGTCCACGGGTTAAGCATGCGGCCTGGAGCCCGCTGGCCCCGGTCCCCACCACACAAGGACCCCATCACAGGTGGGGGTCATACTCTTCCTCCAGAAACGGATTAAGCAACCAGCACGTGAGCCTTACGCTCTGTTTACTGGCTGCATCCCCACGGCTCTTCCAGCTTCAGCCAGGCCAGGGTCACCTTCAGATTGAATGTGCGGGGCCCCTGAGGACTCAGGTCCTGAGACAGCCCCTCTTCCTGGGATGGGACCCCCAGGCTCAGGTGACAGCACGGTGTTCCCAGGCCCCTGCATCTGGGGCTCAGGGGAGAGCAGGTGTTTCCGGGCCCCTGCATCAGGGGCCTGGGAATTGACGCTGACTTCCTGGCCCCAGAAAGAAAAGGGAAGACACAGAGATCCCAGGAGAAGGGGCACAAGTGGGGAGGGTCGCAGGCTGCCTCAAAGCCCAGCTCCAGGCTCAGGCAAGCCTATCCCTGCTCACCCCTTCTGGAGGGCCTGGGTCTGTGGAGGAACGGGGCTTAGGGGGTCTCCAAGGGTTAGAGTGCTCCAGGCTCGGGTGGGGAGGAGGGAGATGTGTTCGGGTGCTAAGGGCCTCCTGCGTCGGGCCCAGGGGGCCAGGCTGCGGCCACTGCCCAGGTGGGCAGCTCATCTCTCTGGCAGCAGCACGAAGAAGGCAGCCTTCAGGAAGCGGCCAAAGCTGCAGAGTGCGGCTACCAGCCAGTGGGAACGGAGGCCAGGGTCTGTGCTGACGACACACTTGAGGACATCAGTCTGGGAGGGAAGAGGGAGAACGTGAGAGGGAGAGCCAACACCGCCAGACCCCCAGCACCACCAGGCCCCCCGAAACCGCCAGGCCCCCTAGCGCTGTGCACCAGAATATCAGCAAATTGTGTGAGGGAATGCAGGAGACTGTTTGGGAAGGAGGTCTGCGGCCTGGACTGAAGTCTCCAGCACAAGACCAGACCCGACACCGTGCACATTCAGCCAGTGTGAAGGGCCAGGAGGCACCGGAGGTGGGGACAGAGGGCAGCCAGGCCAGGCCGGCCGGAGGGCCCCTGCCAAGCAGGAGAGAGGCCTTTGTGGCCCTTGCTGGGGCTCCGGACATCCAGACCAGGGTGCCAGCCCTCAACCACCTGCCTGCTGCGCCCCAGGGGCTACAAGTACCCCAGCGTCCTCCTGTGGGGCCTTGGAGCCTGGGCTGCCAGGAAGAGGCAAACCCAGCTTCATTCAGACTCTGCCTGGAACAGCAGCAGGAACTCCGCTTCCAGAAGCCCAAGGACTCCCTGGACCCTGAAGTTCCTCCTGGAGGAGTGAATGAACATCCACTCCAATTCTCTTATTCCCTTCACTTCCTGCTAATAAATGACGTCTTTTCCCTGCAGCCTGGACCTGTGGCCTTGGCGTTGCTCAAAGTGTCCTCGCCCACAGGGCACACAGTGCCCAGCCCCATGCCAGACTCCACAGGAGGAAGGCAGGAGGGGACGGAAGTCTTGGGGTTTCTGTGCTGAGGGATGCCCGTAGCCGAGTGTCATCTTAGGACAGTGTCCTCCCCCACCCCCAATTCAGCCTTCGGGAGACCACAGCTCCTACAGACCACTTGACTTCAATCTCTCGAGATGTTGAACCAAAGGCCCCAGCAGAGGGGTCTGAGCCCTGTCATCTCTGGCCACTGATTTACACACCGGGCCCAACACCCGCTGTGCAGAAAAGAACGCTGGATTCTGGGCAGGGGAGCCGCCCTCCATACCCAGACCCCAGCAGCACCTGCAGTCTGGACAGGGCAGGGCGGGAAGCTGGGGGCATGGAGACAGATGAAGGGTTTGGCTCTGATACCCACCCCTCGGGGCCTTGCTTTTCCCACTCGGGTGGGCAGGGGCTGGGGGCAGCGGGTCTTTAGTACAGGGGTAGGGTCAGGGGGTCAGTCAGTGCTGGATCCGGGCAGAGGAGAGCGCCCAGGGCCTGCCTGTAGGTCTCGGCCTTTGCCGCACTCCCTGCCTCGCCCGTCTCCCCCAGCAGTGCTCAGGTGATCACCCACCCGCCACTCCCGCCCATACCTCTGCACCCTGGCACCCCAGCTCTCCCACCCCCCGCAGGCGCTCAGGCGCTCACCCATCCACCGCGTCTCCGCAGCCAGGTTGCCAGGGTCTTGCGCACAAACTCCCCTAGGCAGTCCACGAGGGCGTGGACCATGGCAGGCTGGGCCTGCCTCACACAGTCCACGGCCAGCCCCGCGGCCACCGCATACAGGGACACCACCTTGCCCCACGTGATGCCTGCAGGGAGAGAGATGGTCAAGACCAGAACTTGAATCCCGCCCACGGAGCACTGAAGGAAGGGGCTGGGCCTCTCTGAGCTGCTGTCGTGGTTGCTGTCCAGCTAATGACCAGGGACCCTCCCAAGGGGGACCGCTCCCCTACAGGACGCCTGGCCAGCTGGCCGCCTGTCCACCTTCTCAGGCAGTTCTCGGACAGGCAGGTTTCTCGGACTCCACTGCACACCTGCCCAGCCCATGTCTGTGGAGGAGGCCGCAGCTACAATGCGGGGTGAGGCGAGGGAACTGAGGGCAGCAGCCGGATGCAGTGAGCAGCCAGTGACCTCACAGTCAGCACCCCGCAGCAGCCTGTTCCCGCGGCAGGCCTGGCATCCAGATTTTACATATAAAGAAGCTGAGGCCTGCGGAGAAACCGCCTTCCCCAGACCCCTAACCTGCTGAGGCTGAACTGAGATGGAAACCGCCTTGAAAGAGAAGACAAAAGATGGCGACAGCGGGGGAAAGAACAAAAGGCAGGATACAACGCCTCAGCACGGACAGACATTTTATATATTAGCGAGAACAGAGAGGCTTTCAAAAGAACTATGGGCACAGAACTGGAACAGCTGATTCACCCAAAAAAATTATAAATATGAGACACAAAACATGTTTACCTTCATTCATAACCACAGAAAGGCAAATTAAAACAAGATGTGATCGGCCGGGCGCGGTGGCTCAAGCCTGTAATCCCAGCACTTTGGGAGGCCAAGACGGGCGGATCACGAGGTCAGGAGATCGAGACCATCCTGGTTAACACGGGTGAAACCCCGTCTCTACTAAAAATACAAAAAAACTAGCTGGGCGAGGTAGCGGGCGCCTGTAGTCCCAGCTACTCGGGAGGCTAAGCCAGGAGAATGGCGTAAACCCGGGAGGCGGAGCTTGCAGTGAGCTGAGATCTGGCCACTGCACTCCAGCCTGGGCGACAGAGCGAGACTCCGTCTCAAAAAAAAAAAAAACAAGATGTGATCTATTGCATTAAAAGCTTTTAGGCGAGGCACGGTGGCTCACACCTGTAATCCCAGCACTCTGGGAGGCCAAGGCGGGCAGATCACAAAGTCAGGAGTTCAAGACCAGCCTGACCAACATGGTGAAACACTGTCTCTACAAAACATACACAAAAAAATTAGCTGGGCATGGTGGCATGCACCTGTAATCCCAGCTACTCGGGAGGCTGAAGCAGGAGAATCGCTTGAACCTGGGGAGGCGGAGGTTGCAGTGAGCCGAGATTGCACCACGGCACTCCAGTCTGAGCGACAGAGGAAGACCCCGTCTCTAGATAAATAAATAAATGCTTTTAAATGGCAGTGTGAGGATTCAGGCAACTGCAAAGCCTTGTAAACCTTGGTAGGAAGCCCAGCTGGAGGGCACTGGCAGTATCTGAATTGCCACAAAACATGCCGCCCAGCAGTGATCCCTGGAGGGAGTCAGCCTGAGGACACCGCACATGCAAAGATGAAGCACTGCTCTCCAGTCCCTCATACAGCAGCAAACCTGGATCTTTTACGAAAACAAAACCCAGCTCCAACCAATAGTCACAGACGTTCACAGCAGCCAATCCACAATTGCCAAAAGGTGGAAAGAACCCAAGTGTCCTTCGGCAGATAAATGGATACATAAATGTGGTGGTCGGCCACAGAAGGCAGGCCGGGCGTGAGACACCTCACCCAACATTTTTTTTTTTTTTAATAGGGTCTCTTTGGCTGGCCGCGGTGGCTCATGCCAGTAATCCCAGCACTTTGGGAGGCCGAGGCAGGTGGATCACCTGAGGTCAGGAGTTCGAGACCAGCTTGGCCGACATGGTAAAACTGTCTCTACTAATAATACAAAAATTAGCCAGGTGTGGTGGCACACGCCTGTAATCCCAGCTACTTGAGAGGCTAAGGCAGGAGAACTGCCTGAACCCAGGAGATGGAGGTTGCAGTGAGCCAAAATTGAACCACTGCACCTCCAGCCTGGGTGAGAAGAAAAACCCGTCCGAAAAAAAAAAAAAAAAAAAAAGAAAGAAAGAAAAAGAGAAAGAATAGGGTCTGCCTCTGTCACCCAGGCTGGAGAGCAGTGGTACAATCTCGGCTCGCCGCAACCTCCGCCTCCCAGGTTCAAGCAATTCTCCTGTCTCAGCCTCCTGAGTAGCTGGGATTATAGGCATGTGCCACAACGCCCAGCTAATTTTGTATTTTTATTAGAGACAGGGTTTCTTCTTTTTGGTCAGGCTGGTCTTGAACTCCTTATCTCAGGTGATCCAACAACCTCGGCCTCCCAAAGTGCTGGGATTACAGGCGTGAGTCACTGCACCCGGCCATTTAAATTTTTCTTATAGTAAAACTGTAATTAGAAGAATTATATAAAATTACATATGTAGTTATAGAAATACAATTCAAATTCAAAGAAAAAAAAACTATTGCCGACTTTTAAATGGGGAGGAAAATGAGTTCTACCACTTTGGAAATGAGTTATTCCAAAGTCCTGAGTGGGAACTTTGAAGCCCTAAATGAAAACAGCCGGAAAACATTTGTTGGCCTCTGCCTTCATGGGAGGCTCCTGGGGCCGGAGACTTGGAGACCCCCACGGAGCCCTGCCCTGTGGCCGTCAGGTGGCTCACATCACCAGCCAAAGCCCCAGGCAGTGCAGGTCGTGCTGCCTGCCTGCAGTGGAGGGGCTGGGCTGGGCGCACACCCTCAGGGGTGCCTGCTAAGAGGAAGAGAGGGACGAAGACCCAGGGTCAGATGTGCAGGGGTGGCTGGCATGGGAGGGGCCTCAGGTAGGGAGGCAAGGACATGTAAAGTACTTGGAGGCTAGAGGCTCACTCTATAGGCAAAAGGGCCCAAGAGGACTGGGATGGACAAAGGGTGAAGGGGATTGGGGGTGCAGCTGGCAGTGGGCCTGAGGGGCAGAAGGGAGCAGCCCTGCCCTAGCTCCCTAGTCAGGTGGCTCTAGGTTCAGCGAGGTTCAGAAACCCGTTGCAGGTCACGCAGCCCCTGCGCTTCAACCTGCTCGGCTCCCCTCAGGCAGGTGGTGGTGTGGAGGCTGCCTCGTGGCCAGAGCCAGGCCTGCATGGGACAAGCCTGGGGCGCTAGGTGGGGTGGGGGATGTTGACCACAGGGAAGTCAGCTCCAGTTTTCCAGTGAAACCCACAAGACTTAAACTGGGCCGGGCTCGGTGGCTCAAGCCTGTAATCCCAGCACTTTGGGAGGCCGAGACGGGCGGATCACGAGGTCAAGAGATGGAGACCATCCTGGATAATACGGTGAAACCCCGTCTCTACTAAAAAAATACAAAAAAAAAAAACCTAGCCGGGCAAGGTGGCGGGCGCCTGCAGTCCTAGCTACTCGGGAGGCTGAGGCTGGAGAATGGCGTAAGCCCAGGAGGCGGAGCTTGCAGTGAGCTGAGATCCCGCCACTGCACTCCAGCCTGGGCGACAGAGTGAGACTCCGTCTCAAAAAAAAAAAAAAAAAAAAGACTTAAACTGAACTCTACACATGGTCCGAACCACCTGGTCGGTGCCCCCCAACATCCCCTGTCAGCTGTGTGCCCGCTCGTCCCGCCATCGCCTTTCCCCTCAGCCCTCCCGGGCCTTCAGGCGCCCTCTCAGAACCAACCAGAGCCTTCCTAGAAACCGCCCCCACCTCAGGCCAGGCCCTGCTCAGGCAAGACTGGGCGGGCAGGGGCATCCTGGCCCCATCCTCTCTCCCTGCCAAAGCGGGAGGCCCACCTCCGGGGCCTGCTCCACCTCCGGGGCCCGGGCAGGCTGCTGCATTCTCAGAAGTGACTGTTCCTTTTAAAGCCAGCCTGCGGCTCGTAAACCCAGCAGCCCCGAGACAGACACCCGGGGGGCCAACCACACACAAGCGTCAGCCCAGGGAGGGTCAAGAGGGGTCGTCAGCCCAGGACGCCTTCCACTCCTGGCTTCCTTCCTGGGCCCCACCCGCTGCCTCCTCCGGGTGCCTGCCTGGGCTACCCTGGGGGAAGGAGGGGCGGGCACCAGCTCGCCAGCTCCTGCCACTGTGCTTTTGCCGCCCACTGTGCCATGGACCCTGCCCCCTGCCCACCCAGCCCCTGAGCCACACCACCCGCCCACTCCCCAGCCCCTACCCATATGCACCCCCAGTCAACCTCGGTCTGCCCCATGACACGCCTCAGCCTGGCTGGGTCCAGCCCCCACCATCAGCCCCACCGGGCTGCCATATGCACCCCCAGTCAACCTCGGTCTGCCCCATGACACGCCTCAGCCTGGCTGGGTCCGGGCCCCAGCACCCCCAGTCAACCTCGGTCTGCCCCATGACACGCCTCAGCCTGGCTGGGTCCGACCCCCACCATCAGCCCCACCGGGCTGCCATACGGGGGCCTTGGAGCCACACTGCCAAAGAGGATTCATTTACAATCTCCCAGAGGAACACAGGAGCAGTGACAGAATCCAGGCTCTGAGGCCACCCCAAGGAGTGCCAGACAGGGCGTCTCGCCCGAACCCAGCTCGGTTCTGCCTCCTGACCCCACACCACAGCCTGTGCCACTGCCCCTCCCCAGGTGTGGTCTGAGGCACTCCAGTACATGCTGTGGCAACAACACAAGCCTGGGGGCAGGACCAGACCTCGCCTGGACTCCACCCCAGGACTCCGCCTTCCCTCTCCAGCAGCCTGCAGGGTCACCGCTGCGTCCCAGCCTAAGTCACTTCTGTCCAGGGAGGTCAGCAGTGAGCAAGTGTGGCACTGGAGAGGCCGAACTCTGTCAGCAAACGCTGGCAGCTCCCGCCGCCTTGGCCTCCAGCTGAGGGTGTCAGCCCCGCTCTGTCCCCAGGCTTCTGGCCGGCCCACCTGGGGTCAGAGGAGATGCCTGGGAGAGGAGCTGGAGGTCACCCCACAAGGGTGGGGTCTGCCTGACTGACAGGCAGTGGTCCTCACACTTCTGGCCTCTTCCCCTTGCCCTCCGGTGGGTGGAGGTCCTGAGGCCATCTGAAGACCCCTAGCTCTGAGGGTCCCCCCCGTGGTATGGGATGCATCTCCCACAGCGAGCGAGGGTGTGGCTTCCTCTGGCGTCTCTGCCTGATGCCCGGCTCCTGCTGCTGTCAGGACTGCCCTGCAGACAAGGCAGCTGAGGCCACAGAGATGACAGAGGGCCACAGTCACACAGCTGATTGGCCACGGACCCAGACCAGCTCCCAGACGACGGTGTGCAAGGCCTCCCTGCTGCCAGGTGTCTTCCAGAAACCCACCCCGGGTGAACAGCATTCCCCCTCCTCCAAACTTCAGGGAACCCTGCTCACCCGGGGTTTGCTGGCCCAGAGCCATGCCCAGCACCCGGACAGCACTTGGAAAACAGCTGAGGGATGTGCCGATCAGGGAGGTGCCACATCAGGGCCGGCGCACCACTCGCCCCTATGGCAGCACCCAGCGCCTGCCACACCCAGGGGCAGCTCACAGCACGGGGTGCCAGGACGGGATCCAAGGTCACAGAGGTCAAAGGCAAGGGGCTGAGGTCTGCAGGGCCAGACCCGATGACACAGGGCAAGCGGACAGAAGCCACACTGGACAAATCCAGGCTGAGGCAGCTGGACAAGTGGACAGCAGAGCACCAAGCAGGGGAGACAAGCCCGGAGCCTCCTGTGGGCCTAGAAGCATGTGGGCAGCCGGGAGCAGCAGGAGCAGGCAGGCGGGGCCCGGAGTTGCCTCTCCAGGGCAGAGATAGGAGTGCCCAGGAGGGTCACAGGTGAGGCAGGCACAGCCAGGTGAGACGCACTGCTGTTCTCCGGACACCCCGGGAACCGGTCAGCTTGGACTTCCTGTCCCCATGCTGTCCCCTCTCCTGGACGCTGGAGCCTAAAGCCTTGCCTCTGACCATCAGAATCCAGCAGTTACCCATGACTTCTTTTTTTTTTTTTTTGAGACGGAGTCTCGCTCTGTCGCCCAGGCTGGAGTGCAGTGGCCGGATCTCAGCTCACTGCAAGCTCCACCTCCCGGGTTTACTCCTCAGCCTCCCGAGTAGCTGGGACCACAGGCACCCGCCACCTCGCCCGGCTAGTTTTTTTGTATTTTTTTTTTTAGTAGAGACGGGGTTTCACCGTGTTAGCCAGGATGGTCTCGATCTCCTGACCTCGTGATCCGCCCGTCTCGGCCTCCCAAAGTGCTGGGATTACAGGCTTGAGCCACCGCGCCCGGCCACCCGTGACTTCTGAGGGTCTATCCTAACAGCCTGGCAGCATCTACTCGGGAGCTGTCTGGGAAACCTGCCCCTGGCCACTCCTCCTCGGGACACAGCACCACGCTACGAGAAGCCCAAGCCCCGCGCAGGGACCCTGCAGGAACCCAAGCAGCCCTAGGACGTGCCACCCCACAGGACTGCAGGCCATGCAGCCTCACTGATGCTGGACCACGACCACCACCGCTCAAGAAGCCTGTGCCAGCTGCTCAGCAGGCCCACCAGCCTGCAGAACCACAGGAGACCCTGAATGCTGCGGTGTGAGCCCACGCTGGTGGCTGGGCAGCTCCTGACACCCGCAGCAGCGAGATGGCACCAGTGGGCACTAGGCAGCGTCAGGATGGGTGGGGGCCAGCTCGTGGGGTCCCTGTGAGCCTGAGCCAGACCCTAGATCCCTCCCTGAGGTCCCATGGGACGGGCAGGCTGGGCATACCTGCAGAGAAGATGTGGCCAGCCACGGCCAGGAACGCATCGGTCACCACAGGCTCAGACTGCAGGGAGATGTGCAGCTGACGAGCCACGTTGCGGTAGACGCTGGGCCGGATCATCTCCAGCTCGTCCCCTGTGTGGTCACAAAGGCAGTGAGAGACAGCCCACACCCCAGCTCCCTGGGACACAACTGGCTTGGGGCACACCCTGCACCTGACCCCACCTGACCCTGCTTGAATTCCGGCCTGTTCCTGACTTAACTTGTCTGATTCCCACCTCCACTTAACCCCATCTGACCTCCCTTGAGCCGTCCCCCAACCTTGGCCCCTAGAGACCAGGAGACCAAGGAAGTGCTGAGGGTGCCCCTCGTCCTGCCCCTCTGATGAGCCAGCCCCTAGGCCAAGCCGGCCAAGCCGGTGGGGCGGGAATCCTGCGAGAGCGTGGGCCGTGCCTGCTGGTGACTCACAGCCGACAGGCAGCTGAGCTGCCCAGAGCAGGAGGGACCAGGCAGGCGGCCAGAGCCCGACGTGGAGAGGGGCTGGGCAGAGAAAGCTTCGGGGTGAGAGCAGGGGGAAGCCCGAGAGCCTGGCTCAGGCCCTAGCATGGCTCAGGGACCGCTCAGGTGCAGAGGGTGAGCCGTTGTCCTGGGCCACCCGCACTGCTACACTCCCACCTGGGCTCTTGCTGCCAAGGGGACGTGCTTGGAGGTGGCACTGCATCAGCCCACCCTAGCAGCCGAGGACGGCCCCCTACAGGCCCACCGCCCCGAGTGCTGCCTGTGGCGCCCTTGGCAGCAGCAGTGCACAAGCACAGGGCAGATGGTGCCGGGAATGCCACAGGGCCCTGGGATTGGGAGTCCCCAGCCCAGCCAATTCTCCAGCCAAAGCAAACAGGGTATGCTGCTGACCGGACCATTCTCGCCGATAAAGGCACCCTCATCCCCGGAGCCAGCTGCTCTGTATCTCACTAATTAAGATCTGGAACCAGAGCAGAGCCCAGGAGAGGCTGACCGGGGGTGGGGGTGACATGGAAATTCCCAGGCCTGACCCTGCGGCTCCCAAACACAGACCTCCAGGGCTGCTGCAGGCTGGCCCCAGACTGAAGGTGGGGACACAACCCAGGCTTCTTCCTGTCTGTGCTGCCCGAGGGCAAGGAGACAGCACTGGCCTCAGGAGACTGACCCTGAGTAGCTGTGAGGGCAGATGCAGGTCTGAGCTGTGTCCCTCTGGGACCCCCTGGACATTTGGGACTTCCTCTCAGCCATTCCAGGAATCTGGCATCATCTTCTCAGAAGGCCACTAAAGGATCCCCTAGGGTCATTCTCAGAGTCTGGCTAGAGGCAGCAGCAGGTGGCGGGTCTCACGGAGTCCCACCAACCGCCTCGCTCCCACCCACAGACCTCTCCCTCCTTCCGACCTAGGCCTCACATGGGACTCCACCTCCTCCTGGAGGCTCTGTGCTGGTCCCCATGGATTCTGTGTGTACCCCACACACACTCCTGGGCAGGCCAGCTCTACACAGCTTTGCTCTCTGGGCCCAGCCCACCATATAAAGGCAGGGGCCACCCACAGCCCATGCCAGCGTCAGCCTGAAAGGAGGCAGCATGTCCCCTCACAGGGTCGTGACCTCCAACCCCAACCCCAACCCCCTGCCTGAAGAGCCACCGATTCAGAGTTTCACCGCTGCTGTCACCTCCCCTTCCCGGGCTCGGCCACAAGCGCCCCATGTGCCCTCTTTGGGCACCTCATAAACATTCACAGGTGACTGCGGCAGCCCAGCTGTGGTGAGGGACGGCTGGTCCCACCCTCTGCAGTCCAGACCTTGGAGACAGTGGGGGCAGCCAGTGGGCTGTGTGACCCCAGAACCGAGCACCCCCAGATGTCCTCACAGCACCAACGAATACTGAGGTTGTGGCTACCCAGCCCGGTGGGCGCAGTTTCCAGTGGGGGGCCTCGGAGGCCTTGGAATCCAGAGGGCAGCGGGCGGGATCTCGGCCAGTAACAGCAAGGATCTGTTTTCCAAAATAAACATCGGGACACGTGCTCCTACAAAGGGTTTCTGTGCCCAGCTGAGAACAAGGGTCACTGTGGGAGCTTAGCCACCCACTAATAGATTATTCTTTCTGGAGCTTTCTATTGTGTATGGCCAGCATGGCTGAAATCTGGGCTGAGCAGGCAGCTGATGGGGGCGCCTGTGGCGTGGGAGGCCTGAGAGCAGATCTGGGAGCACCCGCCTGGGTGGCCCTGTCCCGAGCGCCTGGCCGTCCCAGGCAGGGGGTGGGCGCCCCTGGGCCAGCCCCCCATCTCGGCCTCGGAGGGAGGCTGCGGCCCAGCAGGGGAGGAGGCGCAGCTGGGGGTCCCACCAGGGCGCACTCACCCAGGCGCAGGAGCACCGCGCACACCTCGGCCAGGCGTCCCGGGACAGGCGCGGCGCGCTCGGGCGCGCTCCAGGAGAGGCCGGCGCGCAGTAGCCGCGCGTGCACGTACTCCCGGCCCAGCGCCTTGGCCTGGGCCACCAGCTCCTTGTCGGTGGGCGAGCGGTCAAAGGCATCCATGATCTCGGCGGCGAAGACCGAGGAGCGCCGCAGCACCTCCATGGCGGCGACGCGGGTGGGGGGCGCCGCACCTGCGGGCACAAGCGCTCAGCCGGGTGGAGGGAAGCGGCGCGGGGAACGGGGCGCGCGGGGCGCCGGGCTGGGCGTGGCCCTCGGGAAGGGCCGTAGCCGGCGCCCGGTCCGCTGTCGTTTTTTGTGCCCCAAATCTTTAAAAACCCAGCGCCACGTTCTTTCAGAGCCTCGATTCAGCCACAGACATTCCCCGCGGCTGGCAGGGAGCGGAGGGGCCGCGGGGAGACGGCGGGTTGCTCCGGGGCCGCCGGGCCCGCCCTCGAAGACGACTGCGTGGGCGGCGGGGGCGGAGGGCACAGCCCAGCGCGTCCCCCACGGCGACTGCCCGGACCCCGGCCCGCCCCGCCCCCGCCCGGGGCCGCCCACCTCCGCCGCTCGCGTCCTGCGCGCGTGTCCCCGGCCTCGCCGTTCCCGTGGCACCCCGGGCACCCCGGCACGGACGCCACGCCCGCCGCGCTCACCTCTCCCGCCGCATGGCGCGGGCGCCGGGGTGGAGTTCTGGCTTCAGGATCTGCTCGCCGCCGCCGACGACCTCGACCCTTCCATTCAGACCCGCGAGGACGCGCGCCCCGCCCCGGCGCCCGCCCCGTCCGCGCCCGAGTCGGGAGCGCGAGGTCCGCGGGGCTTCCCGCGCTCGCTGGGGGCTGCGGCCGCGGCGTCGGGGTCCTGGGCAGCGAGGGGGGCACCGCGCGACTCCCAGCCGGCGAGAGGCTGGGCTTAGGGCTTGGCCTTCTAAGGGAAAGGCAACCCCCGGGGGCGGAGTCGGGGAGACGCGGCCCGAGCTCCTCCGACCGCCTCCCCGCTTAAGGAGGACCGAGCGAGTTCCCTGGATGCGCCCGGAGAAGGCGACCAGGCCGGAGCGGCCCCTGCAAGGCGGAGCGGTGGGGACCTAGAACCAGCCCCGGCCGCCTGGGTGTTCGCCCGGGTCCGTTTGAAAATCGGGTTGTCTGTCTGCTTCGTTCGTAGAGGTTCTTTCCATAGTCTGGTTACGAGTTCTTGGTCCGACGCATGCCCTTCGTATTGTAGACGGATTCTTGGATTCCCGTTGATTGACGTTATCGCAAATAGCTTCTTCTATTTTGTGGTTTACTTTTGCTTTGGATGAACAGGAGTTACTCTTAGTGATGTCCAATTTATCAATATTTTCTTTATAGTTAGTAACCTTTTATTAGGATATCCTCCTGTGTTTTAGAAGCTTGTTTTAGGGCTCATATTTAGATCTATGATTGATTACATATTAATTATTGTGAATGGTGTGGTACGGGGCCAGAGCTCATTTTTTTCCGTGTGGATATCTAATTGACCTGGCATCATTTATTGAAAAGCATAATTTTTTTTTCACCGAATTGGAGGAGTCCCCAACATCTCAACATCATTGAAGAGAGAGAGAGTGTGTGTGTGTGTGTGTGTGTGTGTGTCTTTCGGAACTGTATCCCACTGGTTTATCTTTGAATCAGCCTCACACAGTTTGAACAATAGGATTAACCAACGTGACCTAATTCACATTTATAACACTAAAACATACTCTTCGCATGTGCACATAGGATGTTTATCGAAATAGACCATGGACCTTATACAAGTCTCAGCAGATTTCAAAGGATTGAAATCATACAGTGTGTCCTCTCTGAATTAAAAGTCAATAACTGGAAAATCTGCAAATGTTTGGAAATTACATGTCACACTTTTTTTTTTTTTTTTTTTGAGACGGAGTCTCCCTCTGTCGCCCAGGCTAGAGCTCAGTGGGGCGATCTCAGCTCACTGCAACCTCCGCCTCCTGGGTTCACGCCATTCTCCTGCTTCAGCCTCCCCAGTAGCTGGGACTACAGGCGCCCGCCACCACGCCCGGCTAATTTTTTGTATTTTTAGTAGAGACGAAGTTTCACCGTGTTAGCCAGGATGGTCTCCGTCTCCTGACCTCGTGATCCGCCCGTCTCGGCCTCCCGAAGTGCTGGGATTCCAGACGTGAGCCACCATGCCGGCTTACATGTCACACTTATAAATAATCAATGGGTCAATAATCACAGTGGAAGGGGTAAAATATGTAGACAAGAACAGTGAAAAATAAGACATATCAAATGCTGTGCAGTACAACTAAAACACTGCTTAGAGAAAATTGGATAGCTTTAGAAGAAAGATTGAAAATTAGGCCAAAGGGACTCACGCCTGTAATCCCAGCATTTTGGGAGGCCAAGGTGGGCAGATCACCTGAGCTCAGGAGTTCGAGACCAGCCCGGTCAACATGGTGAAAACCCCATCTCTACTAGAGATACAAGAAAATGAGCTGGGTGTGGTGACAGGTGTCTGTAATCCCAGCTACTAAGGAGGCTGAGGCAGGAGAATTGCTTGAACCTGGGAGGTGAAGGTTGCAGTGAACCAAGATCATGCCGCTGCACTCTAGCCTGGACAACAGAGTGCGATTCCATCTCAAAAAAAAAAAAAAAGAAAAAAAAGAAAATTACTGCTCTTAAGCTTCCACTCAAGAAGCTAGAAGAAGAAAAAACTAAAGATGAAATAATAAAAATAAGAGCAGAAATTAATGGAATAAAGCAAAAAATGAGAAAATCAATAAAGCCAAAAATTGGTTCTTTGAAGAGATTAATAGAACTGATAAACCACTGGAAAGATTGAGTAAGAACAAAGATAACACAAATTTCACTATCAAGAATGAAAAAGAGGACATCACTATAGATACTACAAGCATTAAAGGGATAAGAAGATAGTATGGAGGACTTTTCAACAGTACATTTGAAATTGTAGATGATACACAACTTACCAAAACTGATGCTAAAAGAAATAGAAAATCTGGATAGTCCTACACCAATTAAATACATTGAATCTGTAATTTAAAATCTTCCCACAAAAACAATTCTAGGTTCAGATGGTTTCATTGAGAAATTCTCAGCAGTTAAAAAAAATACCACCAGTCTCATACAAACCTGCACAGAGACTAAAAATGAGGGAGTATTTCCCAACTCATTTTATGAGGTCAATGTAACATTAATACCAAAACCTGTAAGGAACATTACCAGAAGATACGAAAGCTGTGGAACCTCTATCTGCTATGACTTTCCTAACTGGGGAGTAGGGAGAATAATAATACCTATTTCCCAGGATTGTTGGGAGGACCGAATTCTTAATCCATGTCATGTAATAAGTGCTCAGTCATTGTTAACTGCTTTTTCAGAAAAGCTATAATACTGTAAAATCTGAGGGTGCATTTTAATGTACTCTTTCATGCAGAGTCTAGAGCTCCTTGGACAGTGTGTGCCTCGAATTTCTGAAGAGCAGTCAGTTTTGGGATTCCCTGTATTTTATAGCTAGCATTATAAAAATGCAGAGAGGGAAAAGAGTTCTCCCAAGGAGTCACTGCAAGACTGGGCATGGCCAGACCGTAAACCTTGGGGTCTGACTCCATGGTTCCTGAAGTACTTCTGTCAGGGGAAGAGCCTATAATTGCAGGGAGGAGACCAGGAAGCTCACACCTGCAACCTTCCCGCTGTGTAGCCTCAGGCAACTTCCTGCCCCATTCACAGGCTCAGTTTCCTCCTGTGCAAAATGAACTCATACTTCCTGCTTCCTGTCTCCTGTTGGAGCTGTCTCTTGGGCACTGACATGGGGATAGTGGGTCACTGGGCATAATTGATAGACATGTTCTGTACCCCAGGAGCTGCAGAAACCAGGTAAAGCTGTGCTCTGGATGTTCGATACGGAACGTTGCTAGCAGTAAGGAACTGAAAATGACCTAAGTGTTTATGAAGAGGAGATCAAGTCCAGCACAGTGACACCGCACTAGTAGTCCCAGCTACTTTGGAGACTGAGGCAAGAGGATTGCTTGAGCCCAGGAGTTCAGGGCTGTAGTGCCTGTGAATAGCCACTGCACTCAGCCTGGGTAACTTAGCAAAGACTCGTTTCTAAAACAAATTTTAAAAAGAGAGCAGATTAGATTAAGCAATCTGGAGTACCTAGACCGCAAACCCTTATTCAGACCTTAAAAAGCTTGGAGTCAGCTGAGGTCTTCCTGTCCATTGAGACCTGGAGGAGGCCCAGTCCCAGCCCTCAATTTCCCAAGAGTGCTTTGACTTCTTGGGAGCCTACAATTCTCTGGTCACCTTTGTCCCTGATTTTCTGTCTCTGCAGAATTCTTGCATGCACTCTTGCCATGCATCTGACTCGTCTCTCTGCCCCAGTGTTGACCTAGCATGGAACTCGGTCCCTGGTTGGTGAGTAGGCTTCTGAGTGCTGATACCAGCCCACCAGACTGGCTTAAGCACGGGCAGTTTGTTGATCTGTGTGACCAGAGAGAGAGGTCTGTTGGTTTCAGGCATAGCTGGATCCAGGAGTCACTTTCCATCTGTGTTCCTCTGTGATGGCTCCACTCTTAGACTGTCCTGGTGTAATTGCGGGATAAAGCTCACAGCTCCCTGTCTATACCTCACAAGTTCAGGCTTTGCCAGTGGAAAAAGGTCAGGCTGTCCAGGTAGCTCTGGGAGATCCCCTGTGGTGGGCAGCTCCTGTACTCTGCCCGTTTCCAAGCCAGCTATGGCTGGACATGGGGAAGGTGCTAAGCGGTCAGGCCTGGGTCTCATACCTGGCCCTGGGTGGCATGGAAGCAGGTGGGCCCCCATCAGCTCCTGTGGAATGTGACCTGGAGGATGATGGATTTCCGTAAGAGCCTGCTCACTCAAGGCTGCTGTGTGGTCACAGAGTAGGGCACGGAGGGGTCCATAACCCAGTGATGCCCACATTCAGCATTCCAAATTCAAGCCAGCCCCTCAGCCTTGGGCTTCTCCCAGCCTAGCCATTCACCTCCTCATGGCTCCTCTCTGTCTCATCACTCATGCGATGGCTGCTTGCCTCCCCCACCCTGGTCCTCTCCCCCCCTTGGCTCGGGCCCTGCCATACAGAGCCAGCCCCTGACGGCACAGAACAGGGGCATCCTGGTTGTCCTCCTGGAAGGCTGCTGTGGCCTTGTGCCACCTTGGAGACCGAGCTAAGCCCTCCCTCCCATGGTGGCAAATGTGTGATGCCCCCCAGCAGCAGGGCACCTTCCTCTGTGCAGCCACCTGCTCCAGCTGGCTGCAAATCCCAGATGCTGTGCATGGATCTGTCATCCATTTCCTTTGCCTGATGAGTCTGAGGCAGATCTGAGACTCTCCTATCATGGAGTGGGGAGGGAGGTCTGCCCGTCTTAGAAGGCTTCCAGAGCCTCCCTCCCTGTGTCCAGAGACTTCCCTCACTGAGGGGTACCCCTCGGGGTAGAGGCAACTGCCCTTGCCAATGCTAGACCCTGAAGTGAGTTGTGTGGGTGATACAGCTTGGATCTGTGTCCCACCCCAAATCTCGTGTCAAATTGTAAACCCCAGTGTTGGGGGAGGGGCCTAGTGGGAGGTGATTGGATGACGGGGGCGAATTTGCGGTTCTCGTGATAGTGAGTAAGTACTTACGAGATCTGCCTGTTTAAAAGTGTGTGGCACCTCCCCCTTCACGCTCGTCCTCCTCCTCTGGCCACACAGGGCGTGCCTCCTTCCTCTTCGCCCTCCGCCATGATTGTAAGTTTCCTGAGGCCTCCCAGCCATGCTTCCTGTATAGCCTATGGAATGGTAAGCCAATTAAATAACTTTTCTTTTTCTTTCCTTTTTTTTTTTTTTTTTTTTTTTTGAGACGGAGTCTCGCTCTGTCACCCAGGCTGGAGTACAGTGGCGTGATCTTGGCTCACTGCAAGCT